TTTATAAAAGATTTAGTTTAAAAATTTAAAAAATTATAAAGAAAAATAAAAAAAAATTAAAGAAAATGAATTAGTAATAAAAGTTTATATAGAAAAAGTAAAAAAAAATCAATAACTTAATTAATAATTTTATTAAATACAGAAAAATATAGTTAAAACTATATTAAAACTCAATCTAAATTTATAATTATGATTTGTAAAAATAATCTATTGATAATAACTTTATTAAAAAAAAAAAATTTTAATTATATCTATTGAATAAGCAATATATTATTTCTATAAATCATATTTAAAGATCTTGTATTACTGATAAATAAGTTAAATTAAGCAAGTTTGTATTTAAAATATATTTACAATAGTTTTTTTTTAATTTAATAAACAAATAATACTAGTTTAATTAAGAATTAAAAAAATAATTACAAGTTATTTATAATTAATTGGAATTTAAATTAATTTTATTAATATATATATATACTGTATATATATATTTTTTTTTTCCGTAATCAAACAAGTATTTATTATGTTTATTTAATCTTTTTTAAAGAAGACATAATCGTACATCTATGACTTTTATGCATAAACTAATTATTTATACTTGAATATCCGTCTTAGGTAGTTAACCTCTAGATATGATCTTGGAGATGACTAAAGTTGCTCCCTCTTGTTTCCTATTCCTGAGGAAACCCAAGTTCATTGCCTGCAGTTTATCACTACAGTTCACCTTGACAAAATCTTGATTACTTTATATTCCTAACTATTTTTTTCCTTCCTTTATCTTGTCCCATAGTACTTTCATGAGTCCAGGTGTGTGATTTGGACTGGCTGCCGTAGACGACTGAGCTGTCCCTATTTTTGAGTTTGAGGAGCCTTGCTGCGATGCTCCTTTCTTCTCCTGAGAGTTTTGTATGCCTCTGAGCTTCTGCTTAGGTGTGGCGATCTCTTTTCCTTTGCCTTTTCCCTGGAAGCTCCTTTTGCACTCTTGGACCTTCTCGCATCTTGGATTCCAGATCAGGTGTCTCATCTTTTTACACCAGAAGTTTGAGAGTTTGTTTAGGATTCTCCTGGATTTAACTTTGGAGATCTTAAGTGACTGAAGAGTATTGGTCCATTCTTCTATATCCTCTCTTGCCCAGAGACCAATGGTTATATTAATTAAATCCTTGGCCGAGTTGGATTTTTCTTCCTACTTACTAAAGAATGTGTTTATTGCTGACTGCTTCCTGTCCACTTTTTTGTCAGTGTGTTGTGGGATCCATGCTGATATGAGTTTATCTTGGGCCTGGTGTTATATGTTCTTTTTGAGTTCTCATATCTCTCCACATGTAAGTAGGTGATCTAGGATTTCTTCTTGCTACTGGCAGAATACACATAGGCTGTTGGGCATTTCTAGAGAATTTCTTTTGATTAGAACTTCCATTGTTGGAAGCTCATTATGCATTAGTCTGGCCTTGAATGTTCTGCATCCTGCTGCTTTGAGAGAAGTATTTAGAGATCCTTCATCTCTGTTGAAATCCCAGAGACCTTTCCAGTCAAATTTTTCGGGGTTTTGAATTTCTTCTTTCCATCTTTGCTGGATCCGATTTTGTGATGCCCATTGTAAGAGTATTTCCCTTTCATTATAATTCTTGAGAAATGCCCTGGTTGAAATGTCAATGGGAATCTTGTTCCACTCCGGTACAGTGATGGGAACCGTTGTAGATAGGGGCCTCCAGTGAACTTCTGATTTTTCCTTAGCCTTTTTAGCCAGCTGATCTACCTGGTTGTTGTAGGAGTCTTTGCTATGTGCTTTGACTTTGGTAAGCTTTAAGGTAACTTTTTTTTGAATACTATATCAGCCAGTCTTGACCAGAGCTACCAATTCAGTTTTTTCATTCATTTTTTGGGGTTACCTTAGGATGTGGTTTTATTACCATTGCGAAGGTATTTATGCAGTAAGAGTTGTCTGTTCTAATTTCAACTGTGCTACCATTTGGTACTGACAGAATTGCTAAGATAATTGCTACCAGTTCCGCTCTGGTTGATGAGGGCCAGTTGTCTACAGCTGCTTGGAATGATTTTCCTGGGTTGGGTCCTTCAGTTTGTAACCATGCTGCACCCATCCTTAAGATCTGATCCTGTATTTGTCCTAGAGATCCATTGGTATAAAACTGGTATGAGCTTACATAATTTTGGATTATATTAAGCCAATATTCTTCACATAGCAGATTACAAAGATCTCCTGCTAGCAAGTTTTCTTGTATAATTTGTTTGCCATAATCTTCGATTTCTACGAACTGGAATTTGGACATGGGTGCATCTTGCAGATATGCTTTTTCCATTTTGTTCTTAACCAAGTTTTCTAGCGTATGGATATCTATAGGGATGGTTGGTTTTTTGTTTCGCCTATATTTTTTAATGTTGTTGATCCAAGCAAATGTAAGCATATAATTTTCTCTCGTATTTCTGCGAACCGATTGTGTTCTGGTGAATTCTGTTATTCCTGGGAGCCTGCCAGAACTGACTTGAAAGTGTTCTACCTCTCTACTGCTGTTTGTTAAAATACCTTTGCTTCTGGTCCAGCAGAGTTCTTTGCTAGTATTGTTTATACTCACTTGCCAGTTCCATTTTCTTGGGTTGACTGGCTTTTCTGTTGTGAAGAGAGATCTGTCTTGTGGTATCCAGTTATATTTGCTCCAGGTTGTCTTCAGTATTCCGAATTCATTTGCTATTAATTTTATTAATATATATAATTATTATTTTTATATACTATATATATATATATATATTATATTTATCAATTAAATTCTTTTTTTTTAAAACTTTAATTTTACTTTTACAATTAATTTATTAAATAAAATAAAAACTTTCTATTATATTTCTTAAATATACTTTAAAACCATATTAAAAATATAAGTTTTGTTTATTAAAACAAAAAACATTCTATTATTCAAAATAAAATTCTAGCTTAAAAATATAATATTAGTTTTGATACTATTTATAAAAATTTAAAAAACAATAATTATTAATTTAATATTGATCTTATAATTTTAAAACAAAAAAAAAGTTTCAAATTTCTTTTACCAGAATGAATACTAATAATATAAGTTATTACAATAATATACTGATAGTAAATTTAACTATTATTGGTTTTATTTTAATATATGAAATTTAAGAATTTGTAAAATTACTAAAAATTCTTATATTATAGAAACAGAAGAAAAAATTTTCAAAATTTAAAAAATCTTTACAAAAATTATTAAAGAACTAATCTTTAGACAATATATTTAATTATAATAAACCTGGTTTTTATTAGAAAATAAAGTCTTCAAAATTTTTTACAAATAAAACAATACTTGAAAAAAAATAAATAAAAAATAACAATTCTTTTAATATATTTTATTTATATTTTCTATTATATATTAATCAATTAATTGTTATTTAAAAGTTCAATATAACAAAAAATTAAAGGTCAGACTAAAATAAACAATATTCTATAAAAAAACAGAAAAAAGTTTATATGCTTAAAAGAATAAAAAAAGATTTGAAAAAGTTTAAAAAATCAAATAATACTTTTTTTTAAAGTTTAAATTTTTTTAAAAAGATAAATATTTTTTTTAACATATTGTAAAATATTTTTACTTTTGATTTTTATAAGAGATTTTTTTTGTATTTATTTTCGAAATACAGAAAATTTATTTCAAAAAAAAAAACAAAAAACAAATAGAAGAAAACGAAAATCTTAAAAAAATAAATTTTTTAAAAAAATTGGATAGACTTTATTACAAAGAATAATAAAACTTCTTTGAAAACATTAGTTTTATAGGTTGGCAAGAAAATTGATGAAAGAGTTTTAATTTGTTTCTTTTTGATTTATTAGAATACTCATATACAGTATATCATTTTATATTTTAATTTAAATATCAAGTTTTTATATAGTAAATTATATACTGTATACAATGTAAGATATTTGTTTTTTTAAAAAAATTCAAGGTATGTGCAGTTGGCTAAGTTAATATGGTGACTCTATTTTTCCTATGATAATTTGAATACATGTTAACATGATGATAGTAAGAATACTGTCTAAAGTGGTTTTCATGATGAAATTTAAAATTTAGTTAAGTATTCAGAGACTATATTTTAGAAAGTATTTATGGTAGACTAATTTTATTCTCTAGTGTTTCTTTGCTGGGACTAATATTCGTAGATGTCAGGTAAGTTATAAATGCAATATGCATTACATAATACCAATCGATTTCGAGATTAAAATTCCGATCGTTTAAAAAATAATCTCATTCGGCACACTAACTATAATATTTGGCGAAACAACGTCTATATATAGACATTAGTCCAAAGAATTCAAGAAAAAACGTGCGTATACCATTTATGCCATTAATCCAAGATACAGTATCTTTTTTAAAATAATCTCATCAAAATAAATACAATATATAGTTATTAGCATACATGTTTTTTCTTTATCGAACATTGAGGCTGGGAAAAATTGTACTACCATTTCATTGTTTATTGACAACACTTGCGTTGATCTTTTAGTAGGGTAGAATACAAAAATCTGGCGAGTTATTGAATGATATAAAACTAATCGATTATCTACAATGTATTATAATATTATATCATTTTATGCAGAAATATTACCAAATAACGTATACATTTTAAATCGATTATCAAATGTAACGAGTTAAAAGATGCAGAAATAGTTGGTTTTTTTTTACTATATACATAATGCATTGTTTTTTTATGTTAATGACTTTGAAAAACTTCTGTATAGAAACTATATTAGTGAGGGTGGGGTTAGTAAGTACAAGTAATAGTTTGTAGAGATCAGAAATACGAAGTTTGAATTATGTTCTTACTCTGAAATGGACATGCTTTTCTTATACTTGTAGTGCATTTCGTCGATGAATTGTTTTCTCACAGAATAGCTATTATATATATGTGTGTGTATATATTTAAAAATTATATACAGAAACAAACAAACTAAAAGTAGCTTATAGAGGAACTAGTGCTTACGGTCTACTTTGAGTATCTGCTAGATTTCTACATGCTTCATGGGCAGTTATCACAGTGTTACGAACTAAAGATCCAAGTGCATGCCTACTTACAATCATGCCATCAACAAGCGGTCCAAAGGCCTATTAAATGTAACAAGAGTGAGCGTTTGTAAACAAACAATAGAAAAGATAGAGCATCCAGAAAAAAGTTCTCACCAAATGATTTTCAGCTAATTTTGAAACATCCGCGCTCCAACTCACTCTTCCTTTTCCAGATTTTTTTTCATTAATCCCCGTAAACACACTGGTAGAACCAGGGTGGGAAAGCATAGGGATAACTATTCGAATCAAATACAATCCAGTAGCATTCTGCAAAGGATGAACAAATATATATACAAATACAGATTGTCCAATTTTCGGAGGAATATTGTGCATTGATAAAATATCCTCAATCCAAACAACGGAAACCAAATCATCAGCCGATATATTCTTAAATAAAGCTGACAGTGATTCCAAAGGCGCTTCAGGTTTTGGCAAGTGAATCACATATGGAATGTTGAATATTACTTCGGTTGTTCTATCTGCAAAATATGGTGTCGTTTCGCAAAATGATGAATTTAACTTTGCTTTGTAACCTGGGTGTGAATCTAATAATACCTGAGTAGATTATGATATAATTAGCTATTATTCTTTTTCAAACAATAATAAATAATAAAAGAAAAATAAATATTTTTTTTTAATGCGAGAACAAAACTCACAGGCCATCCTAAACTATTCAGGAACTTTTCAAAGTCCTCGCTAATTGAAGGAGGATTTATGATGGATTCGTAATCCTCGATCCCAGACTTTACATAATAGACCGAAGTACTCAAACAATCTCGTCTATATTATGATAAACGATTGATATTTATAGAATGCACAGCTATCATTAAGCTATGATGCATAAAAATTAAAAGAAAAATAATTATTTTTTAATATACACTACTCATTCAATGTATCCAATTTTTCAAGGTCATTAATAAGTCTTCCTGTTATTTGCAACGGTATCACCTTGTGGCGATTTTCCAAGGAAAGTAATCCCATCTGTGACATTAGCAATCGAAATACCTGCGTACTTAATTTTTATTGAAGAAGTAATATTATATATAAATAAAAATTAATGCTATTTTTCAAAATTAACATATGTATGAGTACCTTTCTAGGTTAGTATTAGGCCCTGCAGAAGCAACTTTATTTCTATTAACGGAAATGTTTAACGAAGTTAGTGGGTTTTAAAAAACCAATAATGTAATGAAAAAGAATCTGAAATATTATCTCACTTTGGCTGACCCAATTGCATATTCCTTTTCTCCGTCGAATGTTTTTCTTCAATCTCTTTTTGCCTTTGAGTCAATTTTCTGATGGAATTATAAGCCCTCCAACTATCACTCCCTTCTTCAAAGATGCTATCCACTTTTGGTATTTGGTTGTCATTAAAACCAATCACCTGTGAAATGAAATTACGATCCTTAACATTTTGTTCGAGAATTGGTTGTGGCGTTTCTGTTCTGAGAATCGGAATTGAATGAGTGGGAGAAAGTAAGTAAGGCTCGACGGTTTCTTTATCCGTTTCGGGAGAAAGTGGTCGAGACTTAAGGTTGTCTTCGAGTGAAGATTTGTAACACATTTGTGAAATCCATGTGTATTTCCCTGTACT